TAATGCATCATAAAACTAGTGTAGACTAGAATGAAGATTGCACACTTTGCAGCGAATTCCACATTTGCTGGTCTTCGAAAGCTCTTTATAAATATTACTTAATTTAATGAGGAAAGACGAAAACTTGAAGAGTATAAATAATCGGATAAGAATTTAAGAACAATAGAACACATCAGGGACCACGTTGCGAATTTACAAACAAGAGGGGTGGTTGAGATAAAATTACAAGCAAGGAAAATGCATTGCCAGCTATTTCCAGATGCGTAACTAGAGGGTTAATTGGAGTGGGGGGGGGGGGAGGGGTGTATATTCATATATTCGTGTTCTGCCCGACGAATTTTTTTTGAATTTCTTTGTTTTTAAGTTCATTTCAAAAGAAATTAGTCGGGCAGAACACGAATATATGAATATACACACCCCAATTAACGCTCTAGTTACGCCACTGGGTATTTCCCACAATGATTTTGTTTGAAGTAACCTTGCGTATCGGTATATTCCTTGATGATCATAGGCAGATATATTTCTATGAAACACATGTCTAACTGAAAAATTAGTGAAAATTCTTGCCCATGATTAGCGTATTGTAATAAAAAAATTACCCAAATATGCGGCGGTCAAGTTGAGCATCACAATGCTTGGAAAATCACGTAGGCATGCTTAAATCTGCGACACTGTGCTGTAGTAGATTCAACTACCTCAAACATACAAGAAGAAGTCGCTGCTTCAAGCGAAGGCACTTCGTTTCAAAACTATTATGTTTCACCTTTTTAAAACTGATCATTTTGATTAAGCCATTGGCAGTGCCATGACGTAAAAAACGATATATATGTTTTAACCATGAATCAAATGATAGCCGGTATATATAGCCAGCTGAGCATGCATGAAAATATTAATATATTACTTAAAAAATCATTTTTCTATTCTTTGCTATAGTTATATAACTTTCTAAACTATTTTCAGGCAATTACTGTAACAATCTAAATAAGTCTGTTCTTTCATTGCAGTGATTTCTGCATTATGCGCTCATACATGTACGAATGGCGCACCTATTTTCCCCAAATGTTCCTGGTTTAAATTAAATATGTATATAATTTCCACTCGCAATTTCCGTCTTCGAAACACCATTCAATATTATTTTAGTTCTGTATTGAGTGAAACGTCCAAAAATCAAAATAGGAAAAGTTTGGAAATTCGAACGGACGAATTAGCTGTACGAACCATATTCTTTAATTATTGATAAATATCTTTAAAAGGTATTAAATTTGAAATTTAACCTCGTTCCTATAGAGCTTGTGCTCTTGTGGCTCCCCAGAAGCCCGGAGAATTCAAAGAACACTGGTGTTTGGAAACGGCTGTTTCTAATAAAAGGCTGCTTTTGCATTAAAACGCTGACTGGGTAATTTTTACACAAGGAGTGAAATTATTGGATTTTCTTTGTTGCAATTTATGAAAAATTTGGACTTGTGAACATGTTTTGTACTACATCCCGTGGGCATTTTGGAATTTAAAGTCAAGAATGTTGAAGTTGGAGATACATTTACGCGTAAAATGAGCTCTTTGACGGGCAAAAGAACATGTTAAGGCGCGCCAAAGACATTAGGGAGCTTAAGCATGTTGGACGGCAACACGACGACGACGGCAACCAATACAATCACTCAATTAAAAGAAATAAATAATTGAAGTCCCGGGGGAGTTTCAGACGTGGTCGTCGCTCTGTTGACAAACGCAAAACAAAGATTTTCACGTCTTTTATACAACGCCTGCATTTCAAGCCGTAACAAGTGCAACTTTTAAAAATTCGGTTCAGTAGAACTCTTTCTAAACATAAAGCCAATGTTTTCAACTTCTTATACTGTATTAATTTCATACGAATTATAATATACGACAAGGTTTCTTTACTATCATTTATTTGAAGGAATTTGTTTTGGCCGGCGTCGTCGTGTTGCCATCCTGCATGCTTAAGCTCCCTACTAACGCAAGGTCACCGTGGCGATAAAAAAATCATGTCTTAATAAAATACAAAGATTTCTTTCTAAACCGGTTAAGTTTATCACTATTTATGACACGAAAAAACTCACTTATGCATGCAACTAGGCTCTCTTCTAGTGCAGTGGGCCAACATTGCGAGTGTGAACGTATATATACATGCTCAATTCTTAGCTACTTTACAAGATCAGTTCACATTACTCAACGATCTTCCTTTGCCTTCTGACAACTCTTCTCCTACTGAAAACCTTGTTTTCAATAGCTACAGAATACTTCACATTACCAAATCTAACAACCACAACGTACATTCTTGCTTTTCTTGAAGCACTGCTTATCAAACACAACAAATCTTTTCTTAACAGACTTAAAGCTAGTAAAGAACTGCAACTGTTCACATAACACCTTAACTTAACTTTTCTTCTACATGTCGGGTCTTTCCTTTCTACCTTAATCCTTTTAATATATGAAACATTGTTGTAAATATAGCTAAATAATCCATTTTCAGTTTTTACTAATCTTGTTTCGCTTTGCTTCGCTTCGGCAATCCTTCTTTCCGACCACATGACAGATGCTCTCTCTCTCTCCGTTATATATATATATATATATATATATATATATATATATATATATATATATATATATATATATATATATATATATATATATATATATATATATATATATATATATATATATATATATATATATATATATATATATATAGTATTATATTTCATTCTGTCTGAAGATGACTTTGAAATAAAGTCGAAAATTTACAGTTTCAACCCGCGTCTTGTTTTGAATCATATATTGAATTCTCAAGATGTCTTGTCTTTTCAGAATTTGTTTTTTACTTTATATATGAAATACTGCTTGTGTGTAAAATATTTATACTTGAGTAACGATTTATTTCAAAGACAACACACTGGAAGCTCTCCTGGCTACCGTTTAAATTGAATTTGACGTTTTAAACACGATATTGCAAGATATTTTCATTTTTGGACTAGCTGCTAATCTTCTTCTTCTTCTTCTTGTCAGGAGGCGACGCTCTTTAAAATTATCTTTAAAAAACCCTAAGGCTCCGTCATTACTTGTCTGGTCGGAATGAAACTTGACATATTTATTCCAAGCAATATTCCGCATCGATTGACGGTGTTTGATTTTTCATGTTTGACTTTAGAAGCAAGATACAAGCAATTCTTGACTGTATTCGTAGCAAATAATACATACATATCATTAATATTCAGCAAATGTATCAGCAAACGCAAACGATCCGAAAGACATTATCTTCTCTTTTGTTGTGAACACAATCACAATAGTCTAAAGCTTCTCAAGAATATGAACGACTTATCAGTTATGAGCGACTGTCCGTAAAAATCGTGCAAAATTTGAATTCTGCGGCAATAAACGAAAAATAGATTTCTTTAATATTTTTCTTAAATTTAGGTAATACCTAGTTATAAATGGTGTTTGGGTTAGATTTTCAATATTTGGTCGATAAACGTACAAATATCAGAAATCAAGAATTTGTCTTCGGAAGGCTATAATTAGCCGTTGACAACGCCGTTGCCATGGTCAATTTCATCACTTTGCGACGGATTCAAAACTGCCCGTACATAGTTTTGATGGTTTAATGACCATATTTCAAGTATTAAAGAACACTGTTATCAATATAGAATGGTCCAGGAGGCTTTAACTGGCCTGACAAACGTCGTTGAAATTGACTATTTTTAGTCAAATTTTAGAATTGCATTTTGTGGCTGGATTTGAAGGGCGAATTTACTATGTGCGATAATCGTGAATTTGCTTATATTTCATCCACGGAATGGCATAGCATGAGTACATGTTATATATAAAAAACTACCTTGGGTTATTGCCTTGGAGCCTCACACAAAACTTTTTAAAAAGTTCATTTTGGTGATTTCCAGTGGCTATCTTTAAAACAGGGCATGGGGAATCGGGGAATCCGGGAATTGGGGAATCCGGGAATCGGGGAACCCTGGAATCCGGGAAATGGGAATACAATACAATACAATACAATACAATACAATACAATTTTATTCAGTACCGGTAGTAATACATACATAAATATAAAATAAAGATAAAGTTACGAAAAGAAGGTACTAGCTAACTGTAATAACCATAAGGCTAATCGCGACAGTCAGCGAATTTGATTAGTAACAAAATATATTTTAGTGGGTAAACTGAATAAATAAAACACATGCAATAAAGATTTCCAAATGGACAATTTTGATGCTATAAGCTAATATGAATTCAATATATTATTTTTAAGTTTGTGTTTAAACTGTGATTTAGAAAGACCCTTAAGATTTTCGTCAATTGAATTCCACACATTACTGCCAACAAAACGTATATTAAATTTTCCATAGTTGGTTCTTACTTTTGGAAGGGAGTATAACGATCTCGAAGCAAGTCTGGTGTTATAGTTATGTTTTTGGCTTACTAATGCAAAATACTCATCAAATACGTGAGGAAGTCGACCTGTATGAAAGTCATACATAAATAGTGCATTATGATAAAAAATAAGGTCATGAAACTTGAGAAAACGAAGTTGAATGAAGAGAGGGTTAGTATGATGCTGATAGTTAGAAAATGTTATTAAACGAATAATCTTTTTTTGTAGGATAGCTAATGGATTCACTGTTGTATTGTACGTGTTATCCCAAGCAACTAGAGCGTATGTAAGAAATGGATAGATAAGTGAATAATATAAATTAATAAGAATATCCAAGGTCACAAAATTACGTATTTTTGAGATAGCTCCAATATTGCGCTTTATCTTTTTGCAGATTTCTAAAACCTGAGCTTTAAAGTTTAGGTTAGCATCTATCACTACACCCAAATATTTGAAATTAGATGTTTGCTTCAATAATTTATTGTTAATCGTTAATTGGATACTAGAAGAAATTTTTTTCTGAGGAGGGTGAAATATAACAAAGTTTGTCTTATCGATGTTAAGCTACAATTTGTTAACACAGAGCCATTTATTTATATGCTCAAGTTGACTATTTATAGTAGATTCAAGAATTGGTAGGCTTTTATTATCAAAGAATAAGCTTGAATCGTCAGCAAAAAGAAAAAAGTCAAGAATTCTGGAGGAATTACAAAAATCATTTATATAGATTAGAAATAGAAGTGGGCCAAGGACAGAACCTTGAGGTACACCACATGTAATAGGCATTAAAGATGATCTAACATTGCCAATTGTCACAAACTGTTGCCGATTCTCTAGATACGATTGGAACCATTTAAGTGCCACGCCTCGTATACCATACCATTCAAGTTTTTGCAATAAAATATGATGGTTAACTGTATCAAATGCTTTCGACAAATCAAGGAATACAGCACACGAATATTTACCATCATCGATAGCTTTCTGTATCTTATCAACTATTGATAAAATTGCATGTAATGTAGAATGATTTGAACGAAAGCCAAACTGTTTAGTATATATTATATCATATTTTTCAACAAAGTTTGACAGACGTTTAGACACAATTTTTTCAAGAATCTGGTTAAAAATACATAATAAAGATATAGGGCGATAATTGTCTAAAATTAATTGTGAGCCTTTTTTATGTACAGGAATGACACTAGCCAGTTTGAATTGGCTAGGTACAGTACCAGTTGAAAGACAACAATTAAAAATAGATTCCAAAGGCTTTGAAATAAATCTCCTTAGCAATTTCAGAATTTTAACTGGTATGCTATACGGGCCCGTAGCTTTTGAGGAATTAAACTGGACAATTATTTCTTCAATTTCGTTAGAGGAAGTTGGATTCAAGAACAGACTATTTACTTGGCGAGAAGTCATAAATGACACTGGACTTGTATCAATACAGGGGACATCTCTAGTTAATGCATTTCCAATATTAGCAAAAAAATCATTAAACCTGTCAGCAATTGATTTACTATCAGTTATTTCATCACCATTAATAAGTATCTTTGAGGATAAACCTCTGTTTTTTGTTTTGAGAGTTATTATTTGTTTAACTCCTTTCCATATATTTTTTATGTGCGATTTGTTTGTGGTAAAATATTGATTATAATAATTAATTTTACTAATTTTTAATAAGTGATTTATTTTGTTCCTATAGGTTTTAAATTTATTGTAAAAGTACAGTGATCTTGTTTTAATATATTTTTTATAATAATTGTTCTTAAGTTTTATATACATTCTAATCCCTGAAGTTATCCAAGGTTTATCAAAGTGTTTAAGTTCTTTTTTGCTCAGATGTCGCAGAGGAATATGTTTATCTACAATGCTAGACAGTTTGGAGTGAAAAATATCGAACACTTCTGTTGGATTGCTATCATTGGATGTTTCCATGTTCCAATCAGTAGACTGAATTTCTTCAAGTAATAGAGCTTCATTATATTTGGAATAATCCCTACGAGAGAGTTTAAAGTTCTTAGGTAGTGCTGAAAACTTATTTATAACTAGAAAATTCGGCAGATGATCAGTTAAATAATATATTATGTTACCACTAACAGTATGATGATTAACTGAGTTGAAAAATATGTTGTCAATTAGAGTAGCTGAGTGATCAGTTATTCGTGTTGGTTGTAGTATGTGAGGATGAAAAAAATAAGATCCCATTGAATTTACAAACTCGTCGGTACCTGCGTGAGATTCAAAATTTAAAAGATTTAGATTAAAATCTCCCATGATTATACAATATTTGTTTTCTCTACTAATTATATTTAGAGCATCATTCAAGAACACCATTCGGGAATTCGGGAATTCAGAACTGTTAAGACGGGGATATTAGTGTGCTTGTTGGAAAACGCATTTGCTACTTTGTTTAGAATAATACAGACGATGAACATACAGTATACACTATACACTGCGGATCAGTTGTCTTACTATATAGCCGCTTATGCTTATGATATATTATATATGTATAACAGCGCTGTGCACATATGTGATTTTAATTGAACATATAATTTTATTAATTTCAATTAGACATTAATAGCGTCTATAGAATTTTGTTCCAACGCGCAAGTTTATGCATCATACAGGAAACGGGATAACACCAAAAGCCCACGCTTTATATGTTAAATATTAAAGCGGGCGGGGCGCAATTCGGCGGCAATGAGGTACGGTTTTTATTCACGGATACTTTAACTGGTACATTACTGTCGAGTTTAAAAACTCCAACGACTGCTTAATTAAACGAAATCTGCGTGATTTATAGTTGTTAAAAAACAATCCAAAATCGTTTAATTTTAAAGTACTGTAAGTAATTTGGGATTGCAAAGTATCCGCGAATGAAAACTATAAATATACCGCGTCGCCGCCGTCGCCGAATTGCGCCCCTTGGCTTTAATATTTAACATGTAAAGCGTGGGTTTTAGTTTAATGTTATCCCGTTTCCTGTAAGATGCATGCATTTTACAGTCTATTAATTCAAAAAACTTGCGCGTTGGAACAAAATTTTATAGACGCTAATGTCTATAATTGAAATTAATAAAATTATATGTTATTAAAATCACATGTGCATGCGCACAGCGCTGTTATAATCTATAATACATCATAAGCATGAATTATTTAAGACAACTGATTCGCATTGTATACAGTAGCGAATGCGCTTTCCAACAAGCACATTCATAATATCCCGTCTTATCAGTTCTGGATTCCCCGATTCCCTGATTCCCCGACTCCCGGATTCCCCAATTCCCGGATTCCCCAATTTTGCTGGACCCTCTTGTTACGAAACTAACAAACAAGTGCCCATCTTCTACACTCTAAATCTCCGAGTGTTGTACTAACACCAAAAACGGTGTAAATTCCTGCCTCTGTATTTACACCAAAGTAAGTGTAAATTTACACATTCGCAAGTGTTAATTTACACCAGTGAGTGTATTTTTACACCAAGTCGGTGTAAATTATCTTGCCTCCGTATTTACACCAAAAAGATGTAAATTTACACTTGCGGTGTAAATATACACCAATGAGTGTATTTTTACACCAAGTCGGTGTAAATTATCTTGCCTCTGTATTTACACCAAAAAGGTGTAAATTTACACTTGTGGTGTAAATATACACCAGTGAGTGTATTTTTACACCAAGTTGGTGTAAATTATCTTGCCTCTGTATTTACACCAAAAAGGTGTATATTTACACTTGTGGTGTAAATATACACCAGTGAGTGTATTTTTACACCAATTTGGTGCTAATACAGAAGAAACGTTAACAGAAATTACACCGATTTGGTTTGAACTTATACACTTGTGGTGTAAATATACACCAGGGAGTATATTTTTATGCCAAGTTGGCTTAACATGAGTTCTGACTGAAAACATTTGCTTTCAAACAACAAGTTAATGAAATATATGTAATTAGCTTAAAAACAAACATTCTTACACAATTATTTGAAATGGCATGCAGTTTCTTAGCAAGAAATACATGTAGAAAAGCTAACTTTATTACTTATATATAAAATAACTTGTTGCTTTGAAAGACATGTTTTCCAATTCATTCTTTCAACACACTTGGGCATACATTCGAAAGAGTTAATTGGACATAAACATGTCCCCCAAGCAACAAATATATTGAATTCTTTCCTTGCTTCAACCAAGAGAATTTCATATATACACAGGGTATATACATATTTATAACATATTAAGTAATTTAATATTACTAGAAAAATTTACACTGTTGGGTTATAAGTCCAGGAAGTTAGCAAGTTCACATTTTTTCAATGTCTGACAATAGAACCAATCAATACCTTAGGTTGGCATCTTTTTGTACCGTGCACCTTCATGACTTGCCTTTGTAGAAATAAAAATGTATTAAAACACTCTTTAGGGTATTCCAAATTACACACATAATAAAGCAGCATTATAGATTCCAGTGCATCAAGCATTCTCGAAGGCTCACAAGACTTGGTTTTCTGCCACCATGGATGTCTCATCAGGTTGAGGCTAGGGTTTCAGTTGTCAAGCTATAGCTGCAACATCATGTTCCATTCTTGCCAAAGTGTCTATAGTTGGACTTTTTGCAACTGTAAACAAAATAGTAACAAAACTATTAATGAAGTTTCCTGGACAGATTTTGAGAGGGAAAAAATTATGAAAATCATTGCAAAAAGTTTAACTATTAGTGTGCAATCCCAAGTCCAGCACTTCTACAATGCAGCCCACATGCCAAGTGCTAACCTCCAGAACAATATCAGAAAACATTTATTTCAAAAGTATATCATATCTATACAGGATGTTGTTTATGTATTTATGTAAACAATTACATAACTGATGAGTATTTAGTGTGTTAACATCAAGAGTGCAATGCAGTGGCGTGCTGGGTACTATTTTTCTGGGGGGGCCAGTCGTCTGGCAACTAATATGCGCCCCTATAATATTACCCTTGATAAACGAGGGTCGAAGGCACGAGCTTACCCTTGATAAACGAGGGTCGAAGGCACGAGCCGAGCGCCGCAGGTGCGAGGTTGTTCTAGGGGGGTCCGGGGGCATGCCCCCCAGGAAAATTTTTGAATCTAGAGTCTCTGAAATGTCATTTCCTAGACTTTGGGGGAAGATTTGACAGAAATCTGATGGTCAGGAAAGGGCATTACAACGTGTCGAAATTTGAAAATTGGTTAGAATTTAGTAGCAGCACTTAATTGGGCAATGCCAACTACTTCCAGCAATTAATCTAATCCCAATTTTATTCTCTACTGATCTGAATACATTTACAACTTACAGCTCTTTTATGCAATAACACACGGAACCCACACATATGCATTTTAAGGTTTCCTTGCCTGGCTGCCAAAAGGGCGTGTTTCATCATTATCTGATTACTTACATTACTCATAATGTTTCTTGCGCAAACAACTAAATTGCATACACAACTTTACATTGTCATAACTTCAACTATCTAATTTGCGCCGCTCTCGTGATTCGTGAAG